CAATCAATTCATCTTCCCTATATTTATCAACTTGCTTGCCAGCTTATCAATTGTTTGCATAGTTTTTCTGTTGAGGATGTTAGATCTCCAAAACTCGTTTGATAAACGCCTTAAATTTGGATTTCACGTTTGCAAGCATGGGTTGATCAGTTGACCTTGAGATTTCATTTTCCACCAGGAAAATCCATGACTGTGATTGGCTGCTGTGTTATTTTAGGGTTCTATTTTAGTAACTGTCCCAAGGATGTTTCTATGTTGTTTAAATAAACGAGAGTTGTGTGCTTGATTGTATTGTGTGATTTCTGTGTGTTTGTAGAATATACCTTTCTACGCTTACCAAGACTTCTGTTTTACAGCTCGGGATTCAAAGTACCCTATCTGGACGCTGGTTGACTGTCTCGTTCTCGTTTTTTCGACTATGATGAACTCGTAATAGCTTCAAGCGTACACCTAGTGACGAATATAACATTTTCTTTCCTTCATATCATTTATATTTAACCATAATCAGCATCACATACTAATTAGTCAACAAAGTTGTTAATCAGATAAATATTATCACATATTATCACGTTTTTAACTAGATTGAGGAAAAAATTTGTTTCCTGTGTATATTACTTATATTATTATTGAATGGACCTGATCAATAATGGGGCAAAAAGTGAAAATGAGAAATTTACTTTCTCATTGTTTTTATTACCCTAAAAACAGAAAAACAGTCAACTGTTTTTTTTTGAAAAGTGAAATATAATTAAGATAAATGAAGTAGTAATTTTTGTGGCAGAGTTTTGGAGGTTTGTGTTTTTTTACACATTTGAAATCATCAATCGATCAATCATTGTCAGACCATCACCATTAGAAACCTGAAAGCACTGAAATGGGTGAGGTCGGGTAAAATCCGTAGATCAATCAGAGTTAGACATTAACACTGTTGGGTGCCGCCGGCACAGTGGTCTAACGGTTAGGGCGTCCGCGCACAATACCGAAGGTCCAGGGTTTGAATCCTGCGAGGTGCAATAGTCGTGGATGTGCACTGCCACTGATTAGTCCCATACCACAGGACGAAACGGCCGTCTTTCAGTGCTTCCAGGTTTCTAATGGTGGTGGTCTAACAATGATTGATTGATGATTTCAAATCTGTAAAAGTAGTAATTGCAGAAAATTGATAAAGCAAGAGTAGTTTACTAAGATCACGGTCAATGAAAATAGGTAATTTTGATTAAGCGAATGAAATGAAATTTAAGTAAAGAAAGATTTACTGACACTGGCTCTATGACTAGTTTGTATTTGAGCTGTTCACAATGCGTACGAGTTTTTTTACTGAGCCACTTTGTTTTAGTGTTCACAAGTTACTTTGTTAAGGTGGATCCGATGCAGATGTGAGGGTCGGATTGGCAAAGCAAGGGCTGCATTTCTACAGTTGAAAAATATCTGGAACTCCAAACAACTTTCAACCAAAACCAAAATCAGGATTTTCAAAACAAATTTCACGACAGTTCTACTGTATAGAGTGGAAATTTGGAGAACAACCAAAGCCATCATCCAAAAGATACAATTGTTTATAACCAGTTGTCTACACAAAATGCTTCGTATTCGTTGGCCAGACACGATCAGCAACAACGTACTGTGGGAGAGAACAAACCAGATTCTAGTGGAGGAGGAAATCAGGAAGAAGCGGTGGAAGTGGATAGGACACACACTACGAAAAGCACCTAACTGCGTCACAAGACAAGTCCTTTCTCGGAACACTCAAGGTCAAAGGAAAAGGGCTAGACCAAGGAACACATTACGCCGAGAAATAGAGAAAGATACGAGAGGAATGAACAAACGTTGGACAAAACTGGAGAAGGAAGCCCAGGACAGAGGTGGTTGGAGGAAACTGGCGGGCTGATGACTGGAAATCGTTAACCAGTTCTATTCTGTGCTCTATTTTCTAATCGTATCCAATGGTTTTTCTAATTCTCAGTGTGATGTGTTCTTTGGTTCACCCCTTTTTTGCATTGAAATCATGAATGAATGATTGTTAGACCAACATTAAACAGAATCCTCGAAGCATTGAATGACGATCCTGTTAAGGGACTCGTCAGTGGTGCGCATCCATGACTCCCACTACTCACAGTATTCGAAACCAGGACCGTCGATCTTTCACGCGAATACTTAACCTCTAGACCACTGGGATAGCATCCAAAAGTGTTAATGTCTAAATTTGATCGATCTATGGATATCGGCAACTTCACCCATTATCTTCGTGTTGGGGATGTTAGATCCCCAGAACTCACTCGATAAATGTCGTTATTTTGGATTTATTTCATGGGCCGATCAGTTGACCTTGAGATCACATTTCAAATCAAGAGAATCCTTGGCTGTGATTGGTTAATGTGTTATTTTAGTGTGATATTTTGTGACTCTCGCAAGGACGTCTGTATGGTGTATAAATAAATGGGATTTCTGTGCTGGCTGGGTGTTTGTAGAATACACTTTCTATGCTATATCAAGACTTCTTGTTAGTACATTTAGGTCAAGGGATCACACTAGCCTGCCTGGACGCTGTTTCATTGTTTTGTTCTCTTTATTCGACTAAGCTGAACCCGTAATAGTTTTAAGCATACCTAGAGACGAGTGTAACACTTCGGCAGTTACTGCCTATATCCGACAAGTTTGAACTCCAGTTATCATGGCTTCTCACTAGAACTCCGAGAATTTCCTTACGAAGCTATCCATTAGTAAGCACATCGTATGATTTTTCTTGATAGAGTTATGGAGATTGTTGTTTTTTATTGAAATGATGAATCAATCAGTTGAGTTCAACCCTTTCATTTGTAGACAGCTTTCACTACTTCTTTGCTTAGGAAATCAATAGATGAAGTAGTGAAACTTCATCATTTGGGGTAGTTGGGACATGTGTTACGAATGCCTAACCCCTGACTGCCTCGAAGAGCTATGTCTTGTAGTCTAAGAGTAGGCTGGAAGAAAGCTAGGGGCGGCCAAACCAAAACATGGCAGAAATCCATGAAATCACTGACAAGTGGACTGAGTCATGTTGGTAGATGTAGGCTACCTGGTTGAGGTCCACCGATGGTTAGAGACCTTGAACGACATGGCTCAGAATCGTTTGCAATGGTGCAGGTGCATCCACTCTTTGTGTTCTATGAAATTCTAACCTTCTGAATTCCTCATCATCTCCTCTTTCTCCTTCTAAATTTATCTTACTGAATTATACTTCTCGAATCATACCATAACTTCGCTCCCTAATCTTCTCGATTACTGCTAATACTTCTATTGTTGCTTTCACTCTTGGATTTGAAATGACAGTGGGGTCTCTGTGCTGATGTGGTATGGCAACCTGAACTGATGTACTTATGTACGAAGTTCTGCGTTGTATCTGTCTATCTGTCTCTCTTCGCTTAGCTACTTTGAGAGGTGTTCAAAAGTTAGTCCTGTTACTCCTCATGGATTATAGGATACTGTTCTTCTCTCCTTTTCAGTTACTCTTAATTTCTATTCTATCTTTTAATGTCTGTCTTCTAATTCTTTGGTCTTTCAAGATTCCACGTAATGAGAGCTTGCCTTGTTTCACATCTACAAAATTATAAATTCCTAGAAATTCGACCATCAATATAATACTTGCTATACAAGCCGAGTAGAATGGATACATACGTACAAAAACGAGTTGATCATTGCCGGCAATTCATATACAGTTAATAAAAACTTGACACAATTTTCTCAATCTACATTATGTGTCATTAGTCACTGACAATATATTTAAGTGAAATGATCTCATTCTGCAATTGACACTGTTATGCTCGTCAATTATTGATATTACTAGTTCACCCTAGAGCGAAGACGAACGATGCAGTGACACGATAGGCTACTCTAATCCGAGCGTCCCAAGGCCCCACTTGTGGTGTGAGCTACTTATAAGTAGTATATCACGTGAGTGTAAACGTAATGTCTGGCAGCAGCAGCAGATGGGCGAAGATCAAGAAAGGAAGAGTTAGAAAACAATGGAATTTGTATGAAACGCATGAATAGTGACAATGGATTGATGTTTTGCAACAGGAACAGTCCAGTTCGATATGATGAACTGATATTTTGCAAATGAACGATTTACGATATGGTTTTCCGATTTTACTGAGTAACTCTGTAATTTTCGTTAAATACAATGCGGTTGCCCCACCTGTGTTCTCCTCCACTACACACTAAGTAGAGGAAGAAGTCTTGATAAGGCGTAGAAAGGTGTATTCTACAAGCACCCAGAAAATATGTGGTTAACATAAATCGACTTCATCTATTCATTATAGAAACGTCCTTGGGAGAGCTAAAAAAATAGTTTATTAAAATAATCCATCAACCAATAATAGTCAAGGATTTTCCTCATGGGAAATGTCATCTTTTAAGGTCAACACGGATCAGCCTATACACGAAAACATGAAAACAAAAATATGCAAATTTAGAATCGTTTTCCAACTGACTTCTAGAGATCTAACATCCCCCAACGGATACGTTTAATTTAAGCTGATTTAATGATTAATAGATTTCTTTCAGTTTTCTAATGTCGTTCCAAAAATGTCATTAACAAATTTTTCATCTTAAAAATAAATATTATCTTTTTTTGCATGAAACTAATAATAATTAAAATCACAATAATGCATTGAATGACCTTGAAAATTGAAACAAATTGAATCTTGAAAATTGACCTAAATTAATTTTTCTAACATAATAATGTGATGTATCCTATCTATCAGCAGCTGCATAGAAGAAAACCCTTCCTGTTATTTTTTCTAATTAAAATTCACAATGGAATTTCATTTCATGCCCTACCTGAGTTGAATTAAGTTTTTCTTTCCTCGTTAAAAAATTTTCTTTTTATCAATTAATTTTCTCGCTCATTTTTGTTTTCAAAAGATGGTTTTAATTTGGAAAAAAAGAATCCATATTTTACAAATTCGTCATGTTCTATATTTTTTCCCCTTTTCTCTGTCTCTGTACGTCTTATACAAAAGATGAACAATTTTTCACTTGTCAAATACTTCAATCTTATCGGCGGAATACAAGTTGTTATCGATTAATGCATATTCAATGGCCTGAATCACAAGTGAACATTCGTGTACCAATTGGTTTTTATGTGAATGTTCGTTTAAAAACTGATCAAGGTTAGTTTTGGCGTAAAATACAAACAGTCATAATGATTGTTGAATATTTTCTATGCAACGGGAATTCAAGTTTCAATGTACTGAATGATTTTTATTCATGATAATATGAACAAGTAAGAAGGATTTTATTGTGACCAATTTGGTTTCGCGTGTGCTGTTACACGGGTATGAGGGTGGTTGTCACTTCCCGGCTGCCCACACCGTGGAAGGTTGTTTCTTGAGGGACCTGAAAAGGAAGATAGATTGGTGTTGGTCTTGGAGACCTGGGTGCGTGACCGCAGAGCCCAAGGGACAACTGCTTGAGGCCGGTCACGCACGGCCTTTTGGTGAAGGGTATTTTGAGTATTAGCTCTTCTCTTGAAACCCCTTAGTGGGCACCCTTAACGCCGGAGATGGAAATCCGTGAGGTAGGGGGAGGTATGACATATTTAGGGTCGACCTTTTCTAACCCTTCCTTCCTTGTGACATTGTAACATCGCTGCAGATGCTGGTTGTCCGAGGGAAACACCTTACCGCTATCACACCTCTCTGCAGTCAGTCAGCAGTACGACTTCGCCGTCAGACCTTGGGTAGCTGCTTTTAGTCTCATCGTTCTCCAATCGACCAGCCTGATATGGTAGAACCTACAGGAACATATGTTCTAGCCAATATAGCTTGGTTGGGTCATCACAATAGGCAAGCCCGACCGCGGGGTGTCAAGGTAGCAGCTAAAGTCGGGCGAAACTCAATTTCCTGGGTTTGACTCATGGTATTAAGAACAATACAGAGAATAGTTTGAATAACAATATTCAAACCCATGATCTTCGGTTGTACACGCAGATGCTTAACCTCTAAACCAGTGAGCCAGCATTCAATAGTGTTCATGTATAACTCTGATCAATCTAAGCATTTTCATGGAATCTCACCCATTAATATTCAATAGTTACTGTCTACACTCAACAAAGATCAACTTCATTGATTACATCTTCTCATTTGAAAGCTAATCAATGCACACTGTTGAGATAGATAACTCTCATAACAAAAAATGAAAACCACCATGCAGTTTTACCAAAAAATTTCTAATTAACATTTGCTCATTTTATTTCCTATCTAGAATAAGTGGTTGTTACAAAATCAATCTGCTGTTGTTGTTGTTTTTATTGTTGTTTCAATCTTGGTGTACACAGGAAATTCTAACATAAAAAAAATTAATTATTATGATTAATAGTATAGTTTATATGTCTCAGTAATCATGTATGTATATATTACATGTGAAATACTCATTAGATGATAGACTAATGAAATGTCTGGGTTTTTTTTCCCATCATATATCACTTTTATATCATGAAATAATGAATAAATATGTCCATATATACCAGTAGTAGTATGTTTATTTGTACGCAAATAAATGAAATGTGATGACATAACCTGACTACTTCATAGTAGTATTGTCTAATTTATGATATAAAAAGTATATATATACATATATATCCATGATACAATAAATCGTATGTACATCAGTGTAGAATTTAATTTATCCTACAAATATAATTCTAGAACGATAAACGCAATATTGGCGAGCACAGAGTCTATAAGAAAGCTATAGTTAGAAGAAGATCAACTTTTTGCTTTAAACTTTATCTGTTTCTAAGCATAAAAACAATTAGATTAGTACAATTAATAAGGAAATTACAATTATCAAGTAAGACGAGCAAACATACTGACCAATATAGCCTGTCTTATGGAAATGAGTAAAGTTATGAAAGTCACATCAATATAATAAGATAATTACTTACTTACTTACTTATTTATGCCTGTTACCCCCAATGGAGTATAGGCCGCTCACCAGTTTTCGCCAACCAACTCTGTCCTGGGCTTCCCTTTCCAGTTCTGTCCAATGTTTGTTCATTCCTCTCATATTTTTCTCTATTTCTCAGTGTAATGTGTTCCTTGGCCTTCCTCTTTTCCTTTTGCCTTGAGGGTTCCATGTGAGGGCTTGTCTTGTGACGCAATTAGGTGCCTTTCGTAGTGTGTGTCCGATTCTTTCTGATTTCCTTCTCCACTGGAATCTGGTTTGTTCTATCCCACAGTACGTTGTTGCTGATGGTGTCTGGTCAACGAATCCGAAGTATTTTGCGTAGACAACTATGCTGCTCAGATATGTAAAGGTGTTAACGTCATTCAAAGAATCTCCATCAAGCGTGATTCGGTTGGTGCATGTTGTGTTGCATCGGAAAATTTTGCTTTTTCCTTTATGTATGTTGAGACCTACTGCTGCATAGGCTGCTGCTACACTGGTCGTCTTCTCTTGCATTAGTTGTTGCGTGTGCGGTAACTTTCTCTGCTCTTGTTCGGCTGACATTGGTTGCTGCCTTCTTGTTCCTCCTTTCTTCAATTTTTGCAAGAGTATCAACAGAGATCCATTCCTTATGATGGTACTTCCTGCGACCCAGAACTTCGTGAAATGTTGAAGTGATTGCCTCCTTAATCCCTTTCCAACTGTTCTCCAATGTTGCGTCCTCTTCATTGAGTAGATCCTGAAAGGCCTGGAACCTATTGGTGAGGGCTATCTTGAATTCGTTGAGTTTTACGGTATCCCGAAGAAAGGCCGCATTAAACTTGTGTGATGTTGTCAATAAGATAATAGTGTCCTTCAATTATCAGGTCATTTACAACAAAGAAAGTTTACAGACACTTGTTAGATCAGATCACGTGATGGATGGTCGCTTAAACCACAATTTGATTGGTTAGTTATGACATGACTACAATTAGTTATGAAAATAACTAACACTCATATTTGAGGAGAATTCAGCCATGAACAGTGTATATTCCACAGTGTGATTTTGGTCAATAGTAGATGTTTTCATATATTAGTATCATTGTGGTGAAGATGTCTGCTTGATTGACAAAAGCAGAAGACTAGAGAACAATACATTATGCCGAGAAATAGACACAACGATCGAGTAGAACTCGAAAGGAAGACCCTAGGACAGACTAAGTTGGAGTTAGTCAGTCAGTTAGTCAACAACAACGCAGAACTTCGTACGTAAATACATCAGTTCAAGTTACCATACCACATTAGCACGGAGATGCAATTGTCATTTCAAATCTCATAGTAGTAGAGGTACTACAAAAGAGTTATTAGGAGGTGTAGAAAGGATTTGATTGTGACCGATTTTGTCTCGTGCGCTTTTATGAGTATGATGGCAGATGTTACTTCTTACGGTTCTAGTTGTTAGAAGGGTTATCGGCCTCATGACTTCCGAAGGAACTCGGCTTTCATCATGAGATGTCATAACTCTTCTAAATGAAGACCTTCTAACTCTCAGAGCAGAGTTTAAATGGTTTGAATTGCTTTTTCTGGTTGGCGTTTTTGTAGCGAGTTAGTTTTCTGAAGAATGGGGTCGTCAACCCTAATTCCAACCCTCCTTCTTTATCCGGGCTTGGGACCAGCAGTAACGCCGGAGGGTCTACAGGCCGTGTTGACTAAGTTAGAGAATGCTGGTCGACTGCAGCCTATGCCCCTATGGGGAATAACAAGCCTCAGTAAATAAGTCACTGAATCTCTTCTCTGTGTCTCTTTCCTTTCCTAATTATTTCATTTAACTCGTTCATATTTTTTGTGTGTGTGTCTCTGTGTATGTGTTTTGTATTCATCATTCAGGTAATTATGTCATTCGACCATATACACCGATCATATGCAATGATTTCACTTCCGCATCCATTATGAATACACATGATGCACAGAATAATGTAAATAAATTTTATTTATTAATTAAAATTTATCCAAATGGTGAATTCTCGCAACTTGTTAATCATTGTTGTGCAAGTAAGTAAATTAATTACTTGTTATCTATTATTTATCTATCACAATTGAAATCATCAATTAATTCTAACTACTTAGAGAAAGTATTGAAAAAAGAAAGTAACTGAAAGTGAGATGGTGGAGAAGATTTGTGGCCCAGGTGGATGATTGTGGTGGTGGTGTTTGGTTCTCTGAGCTGCAGATGTTTTGGTTGTGAAGCTTTTATTGTTCTTCTACTGAACAACTTCATCAGCACAAACTTCAGATGGAAGTGAAGCATTCGAATTTCTCCACGTTTGACCTGTAGCTTGTTCAGCTAACCCCAATCTTGATTGGTTGCTGTTGACTGTAAACCTGTCATTGTTTGCGACTTTGTTTGAGCAATTTATTTTTTAGTCAGTCAGATGCAACGTAGAACTTTGTACATAAGTACATCAGTTGATGTTGCCATACCACATCAGCACAGAGAAGTAATCGTCAATTCAAATCCAAATCAAATCCAAATCAATTTATTTTGTAGACGATATTTGGTTTTACTTCCTTTGTCACTTTGTCCTTTGGTCTACATAGGATTGATTGATTGAAGTGATTTTGTTGATTTGTGTGTTTCACACCAATTCCAAATGATTTCATTAGTCGTGCTGTATGCTCCGATATGTCTTTTATGTATGGTAGGATGATCTGTTTATATGTCCTTGTGCTTGATTTCGCTTCTGCTGATGATGGTTTCGGTTGATGTTTTTTTGATGAAGTTGCGTGGATAGCCGTTCTTTTGGAAGATAGTCACAAGGTGTTTTTCCCCGTTTTTTTAAAGCTTCATATGTGCTGCAGTGTGTCTTCGCTCTCTTGAACAAAGTTTGTATGCAGTTGATTTTGTGGGTTCTTGGGTTGTTGCTACCGTGTAGTTGAGAGTTACGTCTGTGTGCGTTGGCTTCCGAAATACTTGAGTTTCTACTTTTCCTGTGTTAGTTCTGGTGATTAGTACATCCAGGAATGATAGACTGTTGTTTGATTTCTTTTCCATCAAAGACGTTGTTGATCCGATTGTAGATATTCTCCAGCTCGTTCCTTTTGATAATGACGAATGAATCGTCTACATAGCGAACTTACATTTTTCGCTTGATCACTGATAAAATCGACTCTTCTAGTCTCTGCATTACAGCTTCGGCGATAAGTCATCATCATCAACATCATCAGTGCTGATGATGTTGTGTTCAGTAGAAGAACAATGATGAAAGCTCCACAATCAAAACATCCGCAGTTCAGAGAACAAAACACCACCACAATTGAAAGCGTGCTAGACAATCATTTTGTGCTAGTATAAGATTCATGAGCAATGTACGTAGGGGGTCACGCTATGCATCAATCGAACTTTTAACCTATGGTCTCGTACACAAACGTTTAACCTCTAAACTGTTACGAATTTTACTACCTTTATCTAGAGTATTTTAGAGAAACCATTTTTGACAGAAAATTCAATGACACCTCTTTCTGGTGAGATTTTAGTCAGTTAGTCAGTCAACTACAACACAGAAGTTCATATTTATACGTACGTACGTCAGTTCAAGTTGTCATACCACACTAGCACAAAGAGATTGAATCTTCAATTCAAATAACCCTAGTAGTAGATGTAGTAGATGTATAAATGGTAATCGGAAAGATTAGCGTTCGAAGTTATTATTCACAACGTATAATCCAGTGAAGTAGACTTAAAAAGAGTCAGACAAAGGTGATAAGGAATTCAAAAGATTATAATTTACGAAAACACAAAGAGTGGATTCACCTACGCCATTGCAAACGATTTTTAGCCTCACATACGTCAATTAGTTAGTCTACATGTACCAACATGGCCCAGTACAGTTGTCAGTAACTTTATGGATTTGTGTCATGTTTTGGTTTGGCCGCCACTAGCTTTCTTCCGACCTCCTGACACACCACAAAACATAGTTCGTCGAGGCAGTCGGTGGTTGGGCATACGTAGTACGTATCCCAACCTCCTCAACTGGTGAAGTTTCAATACTTCACCAATACTTCATCTATTGACCTGCCATCCTTACCTAGCGCCTGTTTTCTAACGAAAGAATTGATTACTCGTTTGTCCCAGGATACACAAGCAATGCTTCGAAGATATCTATAATCGATTACTGATAACCTACAAATATCCTCAACTGTTGTTAGCAGCCATGTTTTACAGCCATATAGTAGAACGGAGTGAACTGCTGCCTAACTCAACCCTTCCTTCAGGCCATCATTATTGTAGGGTTCGTCTCTAGGTACGCTTGAAGCTATTACGGGTTCACCTTAGTTGATAAACGCAAACGAGACAATTACCAGCGTCCAGATAGACTACCTTGAATCCCAAGCTGAAGATAGAAGGCTTAGTAAGCGTAGAAAGTATATTCTACAAACACTCAGCAATCACAATACAATCAAGCACACAACTCTCGTTTATTTATACATCATAGAAACGTCCTTGGGACAGTCACAAAAATAGCACACTAAAATACGCAGCAGCCAATCACAGCCATGGATTTTCCTGGTGGGAAATGAAATCTCAAGGTCAACTGATCAGCCCATGCTGGCAAACGTGAAATCCAAAATAAGGCATTTATCAAGCGAGTTGTGTGGGATCTAACATCCCCAACAATTATTGATGAGATTCTCTAGATAACTGAAGCAATCAACACGTTCAATCGCTTCATTCCCTATCACATTAGTTCCCGTTGCCGACACATACACTACAAAAAAACAATTTATATTATATTATAACTTATCTTCAATTCATGTTTTCAATAAGTTTTTTAAAAAAATTACTTTTTTCATCAATTTATTTGAACAGAGAAATGAGAAGACATATTTTGTGAGATAGTATAGTATCATTTCGTGCTTTCTCGTCAGTCACATACATACAAGCAACATGTTATTTGTGTCATAGGTGTTGTAGGTTTGTGCAGTTTCGGTAAGCCATACATTTGTGATGTGCATGTACCAATGGGGCTTGAGCATTTTTGATAATGGGACTCGGTGATAAAACCACGAAGCATGCATGAGTAGATGTAGTTCTCGGCATGTTGTGAATCTGATTTAAATTTAGCAGAGTCTGAGTGGATCACGTTCATTTTCGTTATGTAGTCATCCTTATCCATGACTATTACACCAGAACCTTTGTCTGGTTTGGAGATTGTTATTGTGGAATTGTTCTTAAGTTCCTTCAATGCTTCCTCGTGCTCATTCGTTAGACAAGAATTTTGGTTGATTGGAGTGTTTTCAAATTGCTGGGATATATCAACTAATTTGACTTTGAACCATGCCTCATTCTCAGCTGATGTTGGAGTCAAATTTGAGAACTGGCTGTAGAGGTTTTTCCGAAATTGGCGTCCACCAAATTCTTGTCGATTCTTTTAGGTGGTACATTGTAGTTTAGTCCCATTGAAAGAGCTTCTAGGTGAACCTTGTCAAGATTGAAGTTTGATAGGTTGTGAACACGTTCTGTGAGATTTTCTGGAAATTCTAAAATCGTTCGGGTTTTTGATAGCGACTGGTTAAGTTTCGTCCATGTTCGGTTCGCCGTTCTCTCTAAAATATATAAAATGCTCAAGACCATTGGTACATGCACAGCACACAAATGTATGGCTTACCGTAACTACACAAGCCTACAACCAACACCTATGACACAAATAACATGTTGCTTGTATGTATGTGATTGACGAGAAAGCATGAAATGGTACTATACTATCTCACAAAATATGTCTTCTCATTTCTCTGTTCAAATTTATCAAAAGGGAACCACTGTTTTGAATTTTATGAATTTTTTTTTATTTACTATTATTTGATTGGCTATTTCACTAATTTACACTAATTCGTTCAATGGTTTCATGTTCAATGTACAATGTTCAATTCTACTTCTTTTTTTTCCTTTTTTTAAAAAAACAAACAGACGATACAATTGAAGTGAGTTTACCAATTGGTAATTTCAATAATAATTTAATCAAACAAATAATTCATCGTGACACTCATAATAATAATAATAATAACATTGGTCAATTTGATGATGCCTCCACCTTATCACATATAATCATGTTAGCCGGCGGTAGTGGAATTACGCCGATGCTACAAATTATCCAATCATTATTTCTGAATAATCATCAAAATTTACAAACATTCAAAGTGTATTTGTTACATTTCAATCGTTGTCAATATGATCAAATATTAATTTCTTATTTCGATGCATTGCATAATACATTTCCAAATCGGTAAGTTTTTTTCAATAAAAAAAACATTTTTATTAAGGATTTAAGGTATCTACGATCGATAAGGCGGGGGGAGTTTTTTCTAAATGATAATAAGCATTTTACTATTTGTTACGTATGCACGTTAAACACAACACGTCAATTTGATATACTTGAACTATGACGAGTTTACCTTAGTCGGGATACGACAGAGCGAGGGTCAAGTATCCGGCGACACGTCAGACTACTCTAATTCGAGTGTCCCAACCCCCATTTTGAGTGAAAGAAGAAGACTTGGATGTGGAGTAGAACATGTATTCTACAAGCATCCAGAAAGTACGAGGTCCGAGTCTAGAAGAAGACACGGATCCCGGATCGAGGATCCGGGTCGTAAAGCGTTACAGATAATGCGTATTTATACATTTTGGTCGAATAGGAAACAGCATCAAAGTCTGTGGCTGTTAAGATATTCATCCAATATCCTAAGGAAATTATTGGTCGATTTGTATTGATCAAAATTATGGTCGTTTTAACTGTCAAAGTCAAATACTTAAATGTTGTTTCTTATTGGTGATCCTGACTATCAATGTCACTTCAAAGGTTGCTTCCTATTGGTAGACTTAACTGTCAATATCACAGACTTGTTTTCTATTCGACCAAAATGTATAAATACGCATTATCTGTAACGTTTTATGACGAGGACCCGGTCCTGGATCCCTAGTCCGGGATCCTGATTCTCATCTGGATTCGGACCTCGTACTTCTGAATGTTTGTAGAATACAGGTTCTACTCCACATTCAACTATTCTTATTTTCACTCAATATGGGGGTTGGGATAATCGGATTTGAGTAGCATGTCGTGTCACCGGATCCTCGCTCTCGTTTCCCGACTCGGTAAACTCGTAATAGTTCAAGCATATCAAGTTGACGTGTTTACGTGCAGGCGTAACAATGACATTGACAGTTAAGACAACCAATAAGAAACAACATTGGAGCGCGTGACATTGATATCTAGGAAGATCATAAAATTGACCAATAATTCTCTTAAGATATTGGATGAATATCCTAACACTGTTGAACAGTGGTATTCAATTGATGTCCGTTTATGCTAGTTCACATTGTAATGAGTATCTTGTCAATTCGGGATTCTTGTGGGATTATTACTTGTTGATGATGAAATTTTAGTGTCCCGTAATCTGACTCCAATTTGAACAGACGATCTTCAATTTCCATATATCATTCTTAGGCAAACAATGTTTATGCAACTGTGGTAATAGGGAGTTAAATACGGATTTGATTGGATGAGTTTTCATTTCATACAATCGTTCATGCAGACAGACATTAGAATGTGAAATGTAAATACGAAACGAAGTGAAGCGGAGAGGGCGAATGGGGCAAGTCAATCTGATGAGGCCTTGACCAAGTATCTATAGTTAGACAAAAATAAGCTGAAGACATGTGATTTGCAAAGTAAGCAGTGCGCCAACGCATTAAAGTAAAAACAACCAAGATTTTAAGCGAGTCATTGGTACGAATAACTCAAGAAGAATGACATAACGAACTTGTTCAAAGGCTTGGACAAACTCTGTAGGCTAGACTTATCAGTACGCACTACAGATCTGGAAAGAAAACTGGGCTGGTAGTTGTGTGGTGCGAGCTACTTATAAGTAGTATATGACATGAGTGTCAACGTAATGTCTGGCAGCAGAAGATGGGGGAAGATCAAGAAAGGAAGAGTTAGAACACAATAGAATTTGTATGAAACGCATGAATAGTGACAATGGATTGATGTTTTGCAACAGGAACAGTCCAGTTCGATAGGATGAACTGATATTTTGCAAATGAACGATTTGCGATATGGTTTTCCGATTTCACTGAGTAACTCTATAATTTTCGTTAAATACAATTCGGTTGCCCCACCTGTGTTCTCGTTCACTACAGTTGTAGTTTTGAGCATTTGAAAGTTATAATGTCAAACTTAAAGATATACATTCTTGAGATCAATTACACACACACAACTTTTTCCTAAAGAGTTTTTTCTGTGTTACTCTTTGTATTTTGAAAATTCGTGAGTAGATCTGAGATGTGGTACATTCGCGTGTATATATCTATATACTTTAGAATTTTTCTATTAGAGTTATGGAGACTAGTGTTTCTACACATTTGAAATCATCAATCAATCATTGTGATAGGTACTACTCACAACGTGGTTTATAAGTAATATTCAGTTGAGAATGTCTCCAAAGGTTACTACCGGACGGAAGACTATCATATCAGAATGCATACTGCAATTAAAGTGTTTTGAAGACCAGAAGACATCTGATAGAAGACACTCAATAATCTACACTTTCGTGAATCATAAACTATCTTCTCGCTCAGTATATTACTATACCATCTGGTCTTAACTACTTCATCAATTAGGACAGATTCGAACATGACATTCACTAATACTATACATCTTGTATAAATGATAACTCAAACTTTGCCAGCATTGATTGCGATTGTCAGCTCTTTTCGTCGAATCATGCAAACTATTGATTTGCGTCACATTCTGTGAAATACGATAGAAAAAAATCGATAATTAATTGACCTACATAATAACTCAGCTGGATTGTGTACAATATTCCGTACACATCAATGCAAACGTTTTCAAATACTTACATTCTCAATGGTTTTGCTTACTTTTTACCATCAATTGAATTATTTTCCTCAATAGTTCTCATCTTACTAACATTTCAAATATAGGAAACACAGTTCTATTCAACAGTAGGCTTGTTTTATCTATCTGTCGATCTATTTATCTATTTTGGTGCACAGTTTTGGAGGTTTGCATTTTTACACATTTGAAAATATTAACACCGTTGGAGGCCGGCCCAGTGGTTCGATGGCAAGGCGTTCGCCTACAATGCTAAAGGTCCCGGGTTCGTATCCTGCGAGGAGCGGGAGTCGTGGGTGCGCATTGCTGATGAGTCCCATACCACAGGACGAAACGGCCGTTCAGTGCTTCCCGGTTTCTAATGGTGGTCTAACAATGATTGATTGATGATTTCAAATATTTATCTTTTGTTTCGTGTTTCTGCTTTGATCTGATGATGACGATGATGATCACGTTGAATTTTTTCATTTTCATATAGATTTTCAATTACTCATGTTCTCTCGGAACCATTATGTCTAACTGATGGAGTGGATGCTAATGATGACGACAATAGTAGTAGTAGTAATCATTTGTTATATGGACATTTAACCGATGAATTATGTCGTCAATGTTTCAACAATGAAATTATTGATCAATTTCAATCACAAACATACTGTTTCATATGTGGTCCATCTGGTTTTAATGAGACAGCTGTCAAGTAAGTGATTTTGATTGATTTGAACTGACAGTTGCATCTCTGTGCTGATGGGGCATGGCAACCTGAACTGATGTACTTATGTATGAAGTTCTGTGTTGTATCTGTCTGTCTGTCTGTCTCTCGTCTTAGTAAGATACTTTTCATCAGTGCAACTTCACAACCCTGCTGACGGAGGTTGAACCCAGGACCTTTAGTTGTTGCCTTGCATGAATACTTAGTCTCTTCAACTCTATGTCGGTATTGAACGGTGTTACTGTGTGAATTCACTTAATCCAAGATATTGCGCGATATCATCCATTTTATTCAGTGAGTAACTTTCTCACACGTGACATGGTTGAACTCTACTGGTCACGAATCCTCACTAGAACTCCGAATGCATATGTTTATCAATGATGTTGGCAATTTTATGCGGAACAGCTATAAAAAGTTTCATTGAAATTATGAATTGATCGATGTTTTGACGACCATTAGAAATCTGGAAGTACTGGATGGTCGTTTACTCCTAGTCTATGACTCATCGGCAGTGGTCATCCACAACCCCTTGCTCACGGTGTAGTGAAGGAGAACGCAGGTGGGGCAACCGAATTGGATTTAGCGAAAATTACAGAGTTACTCAGTAAAATCGGAAAACCATATCGTAAATCGTTCATTTGCAAAATGTCAGTTCATCATATCGAACTGGACTGTTCCTGTTGCAAAACATCAATCCATTGTCACTATTCATGCGTTTCATACAAATTCCATTGTGTTCTAACTCTTTCTTTCTTGATTTTCCCCCATCTGGTGCTACTGTACATTACGTTGACACTCACGTGATATACTACTTATAAGTAGCTCACACCACAACGGGAATCGAACACAGGACCTTACGTTCTTGATCAATTCATAGTTTCAATGAATCTCAACAATCTCTATAATTCTACGAAGAAAATTATAAAAGTTTCACTAGTGAATTAATTATTTTGTATATAATAACGCAATTACTCATAGAATAAAAATTCTGTAACGAAAGCTGATTACTTAAATCACGAGTCAATCATTGTTAGACCAAACATTAGAAAGCTGGAAACACTGGACAATGGCTGTTACGTCCTGGTATGGGACTTAAAAGCAGTGCGCTATTCCTGTTACTCGCAGGATTCGAACCTAGGACCTTCGATCTTACGTGCGGAAAGCCCAACCTCTAGACCACTGGGCAGGCATCCAATGTCTAACTCTGATCAAAATAGAGATTTTGTGCGACTTCATCCATTTTTTTTCGGTAGTTATTGTCTACACCCGAATCAGGCTGAACTCCATTGGTCACGTCTTCACACTTGAGCTTCGAGAATTTTCTTACTAAACTCATCACTCACCAGTGAACAGATTGTATGATTTTTCATGATAGAGAGTTATGGACGTTGTTGTTTATTGCTAACTGTTACGCCTGTATGTAAACACGTCAACCTGATATGCTTGAACTATTAAGAGTTTACCTAGTCGGAAAACGAGAGCGAGGATCGAGGATCCGGTGACACCACATGCTACTCAAATCCAATTATCCCAACCCCCATATTGAGTGAAAATAAAAAGACTTGAATGTGGAGTAGAACCTGTATTCTACAAGCATCCAGAAATTATGAGGTCCGAATCCAGAAGAGAATCAGGATCACGGACTAGGGATCCGGGACCGAGCCCTAGTCCTGGTCGTGGTCATAAAACGTTACAGATAATGCGGATTTATTTATTTATTTTGGTCGAATATGAAATAGCATCGAGGTCTATGATATGGATAGTTAAGACGACCAATAGGAAACAACATTTGAAGTGACAGTGATATTCAGGACAACCAATAAGAAACAACATTGGAGCACGTGACATTGATATCCACTAGGACGACCATAAAATTGACCAGTAGGAATTAACCAATAGGAATTGACCAATAATTCTCTTAGGATGTTGGATGATTATGATTTCACTAATAAACAACCATCTTTATAACTCTCTCTCTATGATAAAAAAACAAAGTCAGTGACATTTTTACTTTCAGATTTTTGGTAATTTTAATTGTTATAATCTAAAAAGTACCAGTTAAAAATCACATCATGTTGCGAAGAAAAATCATTAGCCGCCGATATGAGACAAAGGGTAATGAGAGTGTGTTTAAGCCCTCACCGCAATCGCATCAAGCTGAACTGCATCTCTTGCTATCCTATGCCATACAACGTGTATACAATAGGCTATACTGCTCTATATAGAGCTGAAGGTTTTCCATGAGAGACCAGAGGTTCGTTGTGATGAACATTGTGGATAGCTTGGTATTGCTTTGGCAAGTAATGTTAATAGTCCATATACAAAATTGGTTGGCATGGTGACCGATTTCATTGATACTGGCGGTGGTTGCTTCGCAACATTCCCGACGGCCATTGTCATTGAGAGGCGCTGTATTGCTGCATATCACCATTGCTAATAATAATTTATTAGTGACAGTCATGTAAGCGGGACGAGTCGAATTTGCCTGGTCATGAGGTGGATATCGACCGTGACTTGATCGTGGATCGGAAATACACACTTTATGTATGTACTAGTGTATATATGAATGGTGTGAATAGTCCACCAGAGTGTCAGGTAACTGTTTGATGGTTGCATCATGGGATTGCACTGAACTGTTCGTATTGAAATGTTAACATGTGAGCAGTCTGCTTGGTTCTCCTGATAACCAATGTGAAATTACCCTCTACAATATAGAAGGGTTTTCGTGATAAAGATTTGTAACTTAGTTTGGAAACCTACTCTGTATAAATAATTACACCGTCTAACATTCAGAACTTCGTACATACGCACATCAGTTCAAGTTGCCATACCACATTAGCACAGAGACAGACGCAATTGCCACTTCAAATCCCATAGTGGTAGTTGTAAACCTACTTTATACCAATAATTACGCTGTCTAACATCATGAATTCAAGTCTCAAATATACTGTGTAAAAAACAGAAATGATCTGCTTTACTCTTTTGTTATGTTGTAAAACCAGTCGATACTGGTCATTTGAACAATTGATATTCTTATCAATTTGATGTTCGTTTAATTGTTTTTTAAACGCGTTTGTATTCCCTTATAATGCCAATCAGGTGTTTTATTTTTATTTGCCGATCTTTTGATTGATCATGTTTTGTGGATAGTGAATATTGAAATTGTGAACTGATTAGATTATCGATTATTATCTGACTCATCACATATGATTGATTCAGATGTTTTGTCTCAACTGTAGCTGCTACCTTGACACTCCGTGGTCGGGCATGCCTATCGTGATGACCCAACCGAGCTATATTGGCTGGAACATATGTTCTACCATGCCAGGCAGGTCGATTGGAGAACGATGAGACTAAAAGCAGCTACTCAAGGTCTGAGAACGAAGTCGTACTGCTGACTGACTGCAGAGGGGTGTGACAGCAGTAAGGTGTTTCCTTCGGATAACCAGCATCTGCAGCGACACTGCTGCCTTCTCACAAGGAAGGAAGGGTTAGAAAAGGTCGACCCTGAAAATGTCACATCTCACCCTACCTCACGGATTTCCATCTTCGGTGGTAATGGTTCCCAGTAAGGGCTTTCAAGAGCGGAGCTAGCACTCAAAAAACGTCTCATAAAAAGGCCGTGCGTGATTGGCCTCAGGCAGTTGTCCCTTGGGCTCTGTGGTCACGCACCCAGGTCTATAAGACCAACGCTAATATACCTTCCTTTTCAGGTCCCTCAAGAAACACCCTTCCACAGTGTGTGCAGCCGGGAAGTGACAACCGCCCTCATACCCATAACAGCACACGAGACCAAATTGATCGAAATCAAATCCTTCCTACACCCCCTATTATCTCTCTTATCTCCACGAATAACTCTACTCACATTCCTTTATCTCACTGCACCGCTATTGCAAACGAAGCGAGTTCACGTAACATATTTTGTAATATGTGATTTGATTGACTGACTAATCCATTTGAAAAGAATCCTCACTGTATGAATAATTTCCAAGAGTATTTTCTTTTTATGTGTGTGTGTGTGTGGAAATTCTTGATGAGAAGTTGTAACCGATGTGGTTCAACCCTTTTGGGTGTGATGCATTGCTCGTCAAAGACGATGGATGACGTTACACAAGACCGTCATGCATAGATCGAAGTTAGATATTTAAACACTGTCGTATGTTGGCAGAGTGTTCTAGAGGTTAAGTGTTCTCGTGCAAGATCAAACGATCGAGGTTTGGTACTCCCAAGCAATTTTTGTAGATACTCAACACTGTTGAGTCTCATACTAGGATGAAACGGCTGTCCATCGCTTCCAGAGTATGGATGACAGACTAGTAGATGAACTATTGAAACTTCATCAGTTGAGATGATTGGGACATGTCAAACCACCGGCTGCCTCGACCAGCGTTGTTTCGTGGTGTATAGGTAGGCCGAGAAAAAGCTAGCGGCGGCCAGACCAAAGCATAGCACGAATCCATGAAGTCACTGACAGCTAGACTGAGTCATGTTAGTAGGTGTAGAATGACTGGTTGAGGTCCACGAGACGATAGTAACCGAGGGTTAGAGATCTTGAATGACATCGTTCGTAGTGACGCCGATCCATCTATTCTTTCTGCTCTATCAAATTCTAATCTAAATTCCTTACGACCGTTTTTATCTCTTTTTTTTCAACTGATTCCTCTGGGGTATGCATCTCGAATGATATATTCAATCAATAATCTTTTTTGATTACTGCTAATACTTCTGTTACCTCTAATGATATGGGATTTGATTTGAATCAAAAATTCGATCTCTGTGTGATAATATGGTGTGTCGACTTGAACATTGATATACGAACGTACGAAGTTCCATATTGTAGCTGACTAACTGACAGATGAGTGTACATACATTCCCAATTTCATGGAGTAGGGAAGTTTGGTAATCAATATCGAAATTGGATATCATATTGATATGCTTGAAACTATTACGAGTTCATCTTAGTCGGTAAAAACGAGTGACACGATAGGCTATTCTAATCCGTTATCTCCGGCCCGGCTAATTATATTATAAAGTTTTGATAATAAGGTGTAGAAAGTGTATTCTACAAGCACCCAGAAACTATGAGGTCGACAAACATACAAATCAAGCTTATTTATACATGATAGAGACGTCTTTAGGAGAGCCACAAAAATAGCGTATTAAAATAATACATCAACCAATCACAGTCAAGGATTTTCCGAGTGGTAAGTGTAATCTGAAGGTCACCTAGGCAACTTATGCACGAAAACATGTAAAATCTAAAATTTAAGACCTTGATCAAGTGAGAGTTCTGGGTATCTAACGTCCCCAACACATATAAAATTTTGTTTGCCATACCTTACTGATTTTTTTTCTGTTCATATCAATTTTAGATTAACAAATCAATGGTCTATACCTAAAGAACATGTACATGTATTTAAAGGATAAATTTTTTTAAGAAAGCATTCCATTGCATAATAAAATGATCTTATATGTAGTATACAACACTTTGCCCCCTATACACAAATCTACTGATTTCACCTTAATGACTTATACTACTACTACTACTACTACTACTGTAATTTTCTTTTCATCAATATATTGTACGATAATCTTATATATATATATTCTTACTTTGTGTCTGTGTGTGTGTATCGATTGTAATTTTCGTGAAAAAAAACTAAATTATAATTTCTCTTATCATATTTTCCTTTTGTAGTGTAATTTCGATGTAACACATTCGATACCTTATTCTGCATCCAACTTCTAGTTTCATTCATTAGTTTGTTTTAATCTTACACTGGCTTTATTTCTGGTTGCTGTCCTCTATTGTATGTAAGTAAGTGCATTCTATGTGCTTATTAAGTTGGTCACCTCATCCTAATTCTTCTCTATTGTTCTGTCTTCTTCCTCACACACACAAAGTGCTCCACAACACACACACACACAAACACACCTAGTACACAAGGTACTTCCAGGCTAAAAACGCATACCAATCAAATGCGCTGAATTCGCATAATGTTTTCTCTGTTTTCTTCTAGTCCTTTTTTTTCTCTCTCAAATAACCAACTACTTCTCAGTGTTTCTCTTTTTGCGGGGGGAGGAGGAGGAGGTTGCGAATCAGTAACTAACTGTCATCTAATTCTTGTCATCACTGTGAAGAACTTGAATTGATTGTTTGTTAATCTTTTTGTTCACCTCTCTCAATCATGTCAAACAAAATTTTTGTCTAAACAGTATAATCATCTATGTTATTCACACATTCCCAATGGTATACTTACTTACTTACTTACTTACTTCATTGTTAAATGAATTATATACATTATTTGTATGTGTATCTTGCAATAATTTCCTTTCATTTTTGTTATTGGTGATCAAGTACTACTAGTTGTAGTATTAGTAGTAGTGTAGTGAACGAGAACACAGGTGAGGGCAACCGAATTGTGTTTAACGGAAGTTACAGAGTTACTCAGTAAAATAGGAAAACCATATCGTAAATTGTTAATTTGCAAAATATCAGTTCATCATATCGAACTGGACTGTTCCTGTTGCAAAACATCTATCGATTGTCACTATTCATGATGCGTTTCATACAAATTCCATTGTTTTCTAACTCTTCCTTTCTTGATCTTCCCCCATCTTCTGCTGCCAGACATTACGTTGACACTCACGTCATATACTACTTATAAGTAGCTCACACCACAGTAGTAGTATGAATTTTTTTGTTACTTGTTCACTGCGTCTATACACACAAATGTGGATTCTTTATGCAAAGTTTTCTTTGATTGCATAATTAACTGATAATGTAGAGACTAGGGTAAATATGACACTTAAATCATTTTACGAATACTATTGGAAATCTGGAAGTAGTGTACGGCTGTTTTGTCCTAGTATGGGACTCATCAGCAGTGTACATCCACGACTCCTGCTACCTATAGGATTTGAACCTAGGACAGTCGGTCTTGCGCACGAACGCTTCACCCTTGGACCACTGAGCCGATATTTAACGCTGTTAATGTCTAACTTTGATCAATCTACAGAGTTTGCGTAGTTACTGCCTTATACTCGACAGTGTTGAACTGCATTGGTCACGTCTCCTCAATAGAACTCTGACAATTTCTTCACGAAGCTAGTTACTAATGAGCACATTTCGATTTTCATATAAGAGTATTATCGAGATAATTTTTTTTTACATTGAACTCATGAATTGCTCATCCTTAGATTGATCAGAATTAAACATTAACACTGTTGTTGGTTGCCGTCTAAGCGGTTCAGTGTTAATAAACGTTTACGTGCAACACCGAAGATCCTAAGTGCGAGTGTTTTCGAGTAGTTGTGTGGTGCGAGCTACTTATAAGTAGTATATGACGCGACTGTAAACGTAATGTCTGGCACCAGAAGATGGGGGAAGATCAAGAAAGGAATAGTGGGAATACAATGGAATTTGTATGAAACGCATGAATAAGTGAAATGTCAGACAATGGATTGAAGATTTGCAAATTAACCGTTTACGATATGGTTTTCCTATTTTACTGAGTAACTCTGTAATTTTCGATAAATACAATTCGGTTGCCTTCACCTGTGTTCTCCTTCACTACAGTAGGAGTCATGGATGACACTATTATTATCATCAAGAAACTGTCTACACTATCTACCATTTTTGTTGTGCAATCGAAGAATGCTATATTCCAAATATGGATATATAAAGTTATTTTTATATGATAACATTAGAGCTAGGCGATTGATAGTTGAGAAATGTCGAAATTACAATGACAGACAATACTCGAACTGCAAACAACGAATTTCAATTCTTAAAATAAAACAAACGTTTGAAGAATACAGCAGGATTGATGATAATAGATCCAAGTATCAAGGAAATGAAATGATTCGGCAAATATATGCCTAATAACTGGTCGATAATATTGTGTGTTTAGTACAATATTAAATCCGAACAAAACAGATATAAGTGAACAATATTGTAGTTTTCAATTAGATCGTCATCAGCCTTTTACTCTCTAATATACACGAATATTTATAAATGAAAATGTTAAATGAATCAAGGCAATTTATGAGTCAATAATCATCACAATGAAATGAAATAGATTACGTCACTACACCTCCAATAGGCAAAAGTACAAGTGGATAATAGTAGGAAGACAGGTGTACTACTGATAGTAGTAAGAAAATTATAAAATATGATAACTAAAGTTTTTTGTCAATAGTAGGTCAAACCTCGTGGATGAATAGACTTCAAATAATCAATAAAAACATCAAAACCATTACGTAATAAGCAAATATGTAAAATTAAAAATAAGATAAAAAATATAATGTCAATCGTTAGTTACGTCATATCTGGCCACGGAAGAGATAGGGGTGTCACGAATTTCTTCTGAACACATAAATTGGAGTTGAATGTACGAATTCTTATCGCTTCTGGAATGCGTAGGAGACGGGATCGAACTCCGTTGGGAAATGATGGCAGTATACGATAGATCACCCGAAAAGATCTAGATTTATCTACAATGTGTCCACTATGGGAATCTTTAATATTCTTAAATACTAAATTCTGCACTCGTACTATGTCAACAGAGTTCCTTTACGGAACAATTAGTAACTGGCAGTTGGAAAAGTAAGCAGTTCAACAATCGGCATTTTGTTAACGTTTATTCAACAGATTGCCAGTCACCACGATGTCTCGAATGGCATCTTTTTGTACTTTGTGAGGCGATAGCTCGCAAATTGTTTATGTACGCACTTGAATAGGTCATGCGATTAACAGACACAATTCAGGTGTTAGAACAAACAAAAAGCGGTGACTTATTGAGATATTTTGTTAGTACGATACTGGTAGTCCGATTACTCGTTTAGGTTGTCCAAGACAACAAACACTTAATTAGTATCGAAACTCACTACTAGATATTAGTAAGTAGTATAGTACAATGAACAAAAGGAAATCACGAAACAGGACAAACAAATGATTTGACAGGACGATTCAAAACACCTTAAGGCCTACTACTAAACCTTCAAATCAGGATTAAGTGGAGAGCAGAATGAACTGGTTGTAATTATATGATATACTAGCACCGTGATTACAAAATAGTAAATTAAAGCCACATGTAAAAAGTATATAATAAGTGATAGTGTTGCTTCAGTTTGATATTATACAACATATCAGAGTAGAGGAATCAGGACTGATAAGCAAATGCTCGGATTGTTTGAATCAAAAGGCGCTGACTTGGCTGTTTTGTTTCAATTTGCAGTAATCCTTCACTTCACATAAATGCCCTGATTCGCCCGAGGAGAAAGTGTTATCTCTCTTGGAGTGCTTTCTCATATGGCCTTACTTTTGTAGCTCGTACGAGGGATATCTTATTCATGTAGTGGGGATGTTGTTTTCGAAAGTGAGATAATGAAAAGCGAACATCCAGGGTTTATACTAGTTTGATGAATACGAAGTGCCAATTCTAGGATCATTGAGGGAATTTCGGTCGAAATTCACTGGTGTACATCAGTCCTAAGAAGACAAATGGTGTACGAACCTATATTTGGTCAGTGTTTACCATGGAATAGCACCTAATGATATTACTTCACTATCTTGAGGATCGAACCTCCAAGTTAAAGGCTTGAATTGCCCGTTTAGGAAACAAGCAATGCGTCTTATTTTGTTCATCTGGCGGACCCCAACCACGTAGTCGACACCTACAAACATGACTCAGTCCACTTGTCAGTGACTTCATGGATTTGTGCCATATTTTGGCTTGGCCGCCCCTAGCTTTTTTCCAATCTATTCCTGCATGGCAAAATGTGGCTCGACCATAGCTTTACCTGTAGAGACTGCGGGGTACTGCTGGTCGCAAGCCTGGATAAAGGAGGAGGGTTGGAATTGGGGTTGGTGACCCTATCCCATAAAAAAACTAACTTGCTAAAAAACGCTAACTAGAATAAATAATTCAAACCATATGAACCCTGGTCTGGGAATTAGAAGGTCTTCATTCAAAAGAGTTATAACGTCTATGATGAAAGCTGAGTTCCTTCGGAAGTCACGTGGCCGATGCCCCTTCTTACAACCCTTCCACGATGCGGGCAGCCTGGAAATTACATCCACCCTCAAACCCATAAAAACACACGAGACCTAATTAGTCACAATCAAATCCTTTCTACAACTTTGAATAACTCGCTTATCTCGTCGACCAACGTTTCTTTCGAACGTTTTGTTAATGTATACAGTTCTTCTCTCACTGCCTCAATCCATAATATCACTAACGCGTAAACGAGAATGGTCGCTCAGGCAGTCAGTCAGTCACAACGCATAGCTTCGTACATGAGTTAAGGTTGTCCGCGAGATGATACTTACCGATGGTTAGAGACCCTGAATGACATGGCTCAAAATCGTTCGCAATGGCGCCGGTGCATTTATTCTTTGTGTTCTCTCAAATGCTAATCTTCTGGATTATTCAACCCCTCTAGTTTCGACTCTCTAAACTTTTCTCCCTGAATCATACTTCTTGAATAGTATCTTCTAATCCTAACCTCTCCGATTACTTCTAATTCCCTTACTACCTCTTCTACTGTTGGATTTGAATTGATGGTTACATCTCTGTGCTGATGTGGTATGGCAACATGAACTGATGTACTTATGTACAAAGTTCTACGTTGCATCTGACTGACTGACTCTTCACCAAGTAGGACTGTCATCGGCATATTCTAAGTCGATAAGCGAGCCACCTGATAAAAGGTCTACTCCTGAAAAGTTGGACGAGGATAAGGTTATTTCTAGCAGCATGTCTATGATAAAATTAAACAAGAATGGGGAGAGTGGACATCCCTGACGGACACCATTTGAAGTAAAGAATTCCGATGACAGTTCGCCATAAGCTCTCACTCGACCTGTCGTGGTCGAGTAGAGAGCTTGTATAAGGTTAATGTACTTCTTTGGCACACATTTAAATGACAGACACTGCCATCGCACCTCACGATCCACCACCGTAGCTGCTACCTTGATGGGGTGGTCGGGCTTGCCTGTCGTGATGACCCAACCGAGCTATATTGTCAGGAACACGTATTCCTGTAGGTTCTGCCATGCCAGGCAGGTTGATTGGAGAACGGTAAAACTAAAAGCAGTAACTTAAGGCCTAGGGGTGAAGTCGTACTGCCGACTGCAGAGGGGTAAGACATAAGTAAGGTGGTTCCCTCGGATAACCAGCATCTGCAGCGATGCTGCCTTCTCACAATTGAAGGAAGGGTTAGAAAAGGTCGGCCCTAAAAATGTCACACCTCCCCTACCTCACGGATTTCCATCTCCTTGGGTAAGGGTGCCCACTAAGGGCCTTTAAGAACGGAGCTAATCCTCTAAATACCTTTCATAAAAAGGCCGTGCGTGACCGGCCTCAAGCAGTTGTCTCTTGGGCTCTGCGGTCACGCACCAACACTAATCTATCTTCCTTTTCAGGTTCCTCAAGAAACAACCTTCCACGGTGTGGGCAGCCGGGAAGTGACAACCGCCCTCATACCCGTAACAGCACGCGCGACCATTCTGGTCGAAATCAATTCCTTCCTACACCCCCTAATATCTCCCTTCCCTCCACGACTAACTCTTCTCACGTTAATTTATCACAGTGCACAGCTAATGCAAACAATGCGAGTTCACGAAACCTCGTTCCTGGTATCCATAAACCCCGCTCTAGACTACATGTTGGAGCTTTTAATGTACGGACATTGTGTCAAATAGGGCATCATTAGCTAGGACTTTAGAATCTCGTGCCATCGATGTATGCTGCGTCTCGGAAACGCGCATACAGGATCCGAGTAGCATCATTCACTTGACCTCACCATGTCAAGATAAAGAAGCAACACTATTTACTCTTCGTGTATCCGGTAGCCCTGATGCTGCTTCCAGGGGTCTTGCTGGCGTAGGCATAGCATTGAGTCGTAGGGTAGAACAATCTCTCCTTGACTGGATCCCAATAGATAGTCGATTGTGCGCTGTCCGACTAAACGGGACAGTAAGGACTCGGAAAGATAGGGACAACCGCCGTTGCCTCTTCATCGTATCTGCCTATGCCCCCACTGAATGCAGTTCAGACGAGGTTAAGGATGAGTTTTACAGAAAGCTTTCGGACCTCCTCCAAAAAGCTAGGCGCTCTGATATAGTAATAATGGCTGGTGACTTTAATGCTCAAGTAGGTAGACTAAGTGAAAAGGAAAGACATCTTGGTGGATGTTATGGTGTAGCGACTGAGAGAACAGACAATGGCGACCGTCTGTTGCAACTATGCTCAGATAACCGCCTATTCTTAGCGAACACCAACTTTAGGCATAAGGAAAAGCATCTGTTGACCTGGCGACCGCCGAAGTCGTCTCAACGTTGGACTCAACTAGATCACATCAGCCACCGATGGAGGGGTTCGATAGAGGACTGTCGCTCGTTCTGGAGCACATGTCTAGATTCAGATCATGCCCTAGTGCGAGCGCGTATTTGTTTGAAGCTTACTGGGCGTAGGAAAGACACCGTAAGAAAGCCTCTTAGGGTTTTACTTAATGATAATCAAGCTAAGAAAATATTTCAGGAACAACTAGAAAGAGAGTTAAGCAACGATGTAAGTGATTCCCATCCAGAAGCAGGTTGGTATGATATCAAAAAGGCTGTGGAAACAGCAGTGATATCTGCTAGGAAGGTAGACCATAAGGCTAGGATGAAGCCGTGGATCTCAGTAGCATCCACCGATCTGATGGATGCTCGAAAACTCATCCCACCTGGCTCTGAACATGATGAAGAACGAAGTCAACTTAGGCGCAGACTTATAAAAAGCCTACGTAACGACCGCGAACAGTGGTGGGTGGCGAAAGCAAAAGCGATGGAAAAGGCAGCGGCGATAGGCAACAGTAGACAACTTTTCCGACTTATCAAGGAAACTGGTATTAGGAATCCTAGTGTAAGTGAGACTATCTCAGAAAATGACGGGACTATTATCTATTCTCAATCCAGGAGACTGGATCGATGGGCAGAACACTTTAGGGATCAGTTCAACTGGCCTCGAGCCACTCTTCGGTTACCCACGATCTCCAGTCATCCTGAATGGCAAGTCGACGTAAGTCCCCCTAGTCTTAATGACGTTGAGAAAGCGTTAGGAAATCTGAAGCGAGGACGAGCTGCAGGTCCTGATAGACTGATCCCTGAGATATTTAATGATGGTGGTCGAGTTTTAGCAACTAGGTTGACTGAGATCTTAGGTAGAATCTGGGAACTGGACACAATCCCATCTGACTGGTCTCAATCCTTGATTGTCCCAATCTATAAGAAAGGACAGAAGTCTTCTTGTGACAATCACAGGGGAATAAGTCTAACTAATATAGTATCTAAAATATTGGCCTCAATAATACTTCGACGCTTAACGAAAACTCGTGAAGAGCAGACTCGAGAAAACCAGGCTGGTTTTCGACCTGGACGTGGTTGTATAGACCACATCTTCACACTACGAAAGGTCCTTGAACACAGACACACATTTAGGCGTCCTACAATAGTTGTTTTCCTGGACCTAAACGAGGCATTTGACTCTGTGGATCGTGAGGTTCTGTGGCAGTGTCTGTCATTGAAAGGTGTACCAAAGAAGTACATTAACCTTATACAAGCTCTTTACTCGAACACCACTTGTCGAGTGAGGGCTTATGGCGAACTGTCATCGGAATTCTTTACCTCAAGTGGCGTCCGTCAGGGATGTCCACTTTCTCCATTCTTGTTTAATTTTATCATAGACATGCTCCTAGAAATAACCTTATCCTCGTCTGAATTTTCTGGAGTAGACCTTCTACCAGGTGGCTCGCTTATTGACTTAGAATATGCCGATGACATTGTCCTACTTGGTGAAGACGCTGACAAAATGCAGAGTCTTCTGACTACCCTAAGCAACAATGCAAGCATGTTCGGGATGCGGTTTTCCCCCTCGAAATGCAAAATGTTGCTTCAAGATTGGGTTGCATCGGCACCTGAACTAGTGATAGGGAGTGAAGTAGTCGAACGTGTAGACCGCTTCACTTATCTTGGGAGTCTCATCAGTGCCGATGGCCTGGTGACTGACGAAATCTCAGCTCGGATACAGAAGGCTCGATTGGCTTTTGCCAACCTGCGTCACTTATGGCGTAGGCGTGATATCCGTTCGCTGACTAAAGGACGAGTGTACTGCGCAGTGGTTCGCTCCGTCTTACTTTATGGCTGTGAAACATGGCCAGTGAGAGTAGAAGATATTCGTAGGTTACTGGTTTTCGATCATAGGTGTCTTCGAAGCATTGCTCGTATATCGTGGGACAACCGAGTAAGCAACGCTGTCGTTAGGAAACGGGTGCTAGGCAAGGATGGCAGATCAATCGATGAAGTGGTGAAACTTCATCAGTTGAGGTGGTTGGGACATGTGCTGCGTATGCCTAACCACCGACTGCCTCGTCGAGCTTTGTTTTGTAGTGTAGGAATAGGTTGGAAGAAAGTTAGGGGCGGCCAAACCAAAACATGGCAGAAATCCACGAAGTCATTGACTAGTGGACTGAGCCATGTCGGTAATTGTCGACTACCTGGTTGGGATCCGCGAGATGATAATAATCGATGGTTAGAGACCTTGAATGACATGGCTCAAAATCGTTCGCAATGGCGCCGGTGCATTTATTCTCTGCGTTCTCTCAAATGCTTATCTTCTGGATTCTTCAACCCCTCTAGTTTCGACTCTCTAAACTTTTCTCACTGAATCATACTTCTTGAATAGTATCTTCTAATCCTAACCTCTCCGATTACTTCTAATACCCTTACTAACTCTTCTACTATTGGATTTGAATTGACAATTATATCTCTGTGCTGATGTGGTATGGCGACATGAACTGATGTACTTACGTACGAAGTTCTACGTTGCAACTGACTGACTGACTGACATAGTTAAACAAGAATGGCGAAAGTGGACATTCCCGACGGACACCACTTGAAGTGAAGAATTCCGGTGACAGTTCGCCATAACCTCTCACTCGACCAGTAGTGTTCGAGTAGAGAACTTGTATAAGGTTAATGTACTTCTTTGGTACACCTTTCAATGACAAACACTGCCATAGAACCTCACGATCCACTGAGTCAAATGCCGCTTTAAGGTCCAGGAACACAACTATTGTCGGACGTCTAAATGTGTGTCTGTGTTCGAGGACCTGTCTGAGTGTGAAGATGTCTTCACCGAAAATGGAACTACGTCACATCAGCCTATTCTAAGTTGAGTATGATTGCTAATCTAAATCTTAACTATAAGTAGTTACAAATCGATTTTTAAAAAGAACTGACTCAGTAATAATTATTCAACATTTATTAAAACTAATATATCTGATTATCATGAATTGATATCCAGAAAAATAATAAAAAATTCATTATTAACAAATTACACACAATTCAATAGTCTAGTTTTACAGTTGGCCAGCTTTTCTTCTTCAAAAATAAATCCTATCATCGAAAAATGCAGTGCAGTGAAGGGGGGCTTGGGGTGGGGTGTGACAAGAATCAAGAAGATTAACATTGAAATGATTTGCATATAGATTACACAGATGATCCGGTTTCAGTTTTATTCACAGTACTAGTAGTAGTAGCAATAGACGTAGTATTTTTCAATTCATCACGTATTGACAATTGATCAGCTTTGATTAGGAAATCTTTCGCTTTCAATTCATTCATTTCAACACCATCACCTTTAGAATACATTTTTGCAATATTACGACAACAAAATTCATGACCTAAACGACAACCTTCCATCCATGCATTGAATGCTTTAATACGTAGTAATTGTTGACTATTATTATTATTACTACTAATACTACTACTATTACCATTGTTATCAGTAGTATTGAGCGATTTTTCCGAATGACTTAATTGATCGCTGTCTTTAGCTAATACCATTGCTACACCACCAAGATGAAAACAACTTTCTGGTGTTTGATTTTGACAACCTAATTCGAATAATTGCATTGCAATAGATAAATTCGGTGTATGACTAACTACACCATCAGCAATAAGACGTCCAGCAGCCTGTGGGAGTTGAATAGAAAAAAACACCAACAACACAGAAAATGAAAAGTGAATTGTCTAAGCTAAAGTGAACTCTATTAAAAACTAACGGAATACATTTAACAAGACCCCAACCAGGTAGTCTACATCTACCAATATGACTTAGTTCAATTGTCAGTGATTTCATGGATTTGTGTCATGTTTTGGTTTGGCCGCTCCTAGCTTTTCTCCTACCTATTCCTACACCACGAAACATCGCTTGTCGAGGCAGTCGGTAGGTTGGCGTACGTAACACATGTCCTAAGCACCTCAACTGATAAAGTTTCAATACTTCATCTATTGATTTGCCATTCCTGCCTTGTACTTGGTTCCTAACTATAGCATTGCTTACTCAGTTGTTTCACGATACACAAGCAATGCTGCTGCACAGTACACTCGTCCTTTGATCACCTACGGCATAAGTGATGCAAGTTGACAAAAGCCAATCGAGACTTGTGTCCGTGCTGATATTTTGTCACACACCAGGCCATTAGCACTGATCAGACTCCCAAGATAAGTGAAGCGGTCTACACACTCGACTACTTCACTCCCTATCACCAGTCCAGCTACAGATACAAGCCGATGCTGAAGCAACATTTTGCATTTCTAGGGTGAGAACCACATCCAGAACATACTTGCAGTGTTGCTTAGGGTAGTCAGAAGACTCTGCATTTTGTCAGCATCTTCACGGAATAGTACTGTCATCAGCATACTTTAAGTCAGCAAGCGTGTCTCCTGGTAGAAGACCCAGCCCTGAAAAATCAAATGAAGAAAATGCCAATGTGTGGTGTTCGAATAGAGAGCTTGTATAAGGTTAATGCACTTCTTTGGTACACCTTGTATTGACAGACACCGCCATAGAACCCCATGATCAACAAAGAAGGCCCAATCCTGATGACAGTTCACCATAAGCCAAACCATGTGAGTAGGTGTATACTAACTGGTTGGGGTCCGCGAGACGAAAGTCAACGATGGTTAGAGACCTTGAATAAAATGGCTCAAAATCGTTTGCGATGGTGCAGGTACATCCATTCTTTGGCTTCTCTCAAATCCTAATCCTCTGTATTCTTTATCGCCTTTACCTTTCTCTTTAAAAGTTTATATTACTGGATTATACTTCTTGAATAATATCTTTCAACCCTAATCTCTCCGATTACTGTTAATACTTCCACTACTTCTACTACTATAGGATTTGAATTGACAATTGCGTCTCTGTACTAATGTGGTATCGCAACTTGAACTGATGTACGTAGGTACGAAGTTCTACGTTGTAGCTGACTGGCTGAGATAGGAGGAAAATATACGTTAATGATAAGCCTGTGTACTAAGCTAATTTATGACTTCGAATTAGACAACATTGAACGAGGAGGGATGCTTAGTGTATGATTCTCGCATAAAATCATATTTGTAACCCTTTAGTGATAGAGTAACACAGCACAAGCGATCTAAGTAGAAAAATAAAAACGAGAAACTAGCAACATACAATGCTTCGGCGTGAAAGATAAAAAGAAAATTGAAAAACTATGTTTTACAGGTTGTCTGAGCGATCTAGTATTTGGAACCGATAATTAGTGATTTTTTGGCTGAGATACTGTCTGAATAAACACCTTTCTAGCACTAATTTGTGACTTAGAATCAACTCCTAATAAATTACCTTAATTGCTGTTCTCTAATTTACTGAAGATTTTGTAAACGTTATAAAGATTTTTGGACTTAACAGTTTTATTAAATACTGTTAAGAAACTGTCTGTTATATTGATTGATACTTTCAGCGTATAGTATCATAGGCTAAAAAAAGTCAAAATGAAGCAATAATTCCCTGTGTATTATAGTATAATGAGCTTGAAATAAGCATTGAAGTGCACATAAAAAGTAGATCCTTTGAAAAGTCGACAGCAATACTGATGCTTATGTGGATAAATGACGTCCTCTACCATACGTAATGAAAATCTGATCAACAACTTAGAATTTGTACACTAATCTGTACAATTTACAAATTTTCGTTCCTAGCTAGCTCGTTTAGCATTGTAGATATTTAAATAAAAAACAAGCCTGAAGCGATCATGTGTCCTTGAAAATCCATAACACTATCAAGAAATATTAACCATCACTTCACCACTGTTAAATAATGCAACAATATAACTGTTTGTCTATATAAACAGTGATTATGCTGTCAGAAGAACAATAGATTATTCAATAATCTGTTTCCTTTATGAATTTTTAACGAAAAAAAACCTACATGAATAAGATTTTTGACATACTTGACAACATTTTCCTTGTTTCGCTATTTTACAACCATGTTCGAATGCACGAAAAGCTTCCATTGAATCTCTTAATATATTATTATTGCCAATAATTTTTAATGATCCAAATCGATGACAACTATCTCCATAATTACGCTTGAAACAATTCTCTTTGAGAATCTCAACACTCTTGGCAGCGAGTTTTTTATAATCATTACACCATACTGCCCATGAATGACAGCCTAAATAAAATTATAGAAAAAGTTGAATACAACCTACTCACTGATAGGATTGTTTTCACGTATACAACTATATTCGAAGCCCAATCCAAGATTTTCCATGTAATCGTGCATTTCTTTAGGCGTCTTGGAGTCTAACATTCCTGACTCAGTCATTTCTAGACCACAGAAAAATACGTAGCAATGGGCTGTTAATTATGACTATTTGAGTTTATGGATAATCATAGATTAACATAAAAGCTATGGATTAGGATCACAGCTTAATTAAAAAGAAAGACTGAGGTAATCTGTACTTAAAAGAAACAGTGTACTAATCCTCTTAATATGGCTAATGAGCATTAGTACGGAGCTATATAGTCCGTTAACTACAAGGAAAGCTGGATAAAATACATGAAATTATGAGAAAGCCGACTCAATCCTATCCTAGATATCCTCTGCGAAGAGTGCGATGAAATATTAAGGGCAGAATGAGATACTAGAATATTAAAACATAATTATGGATACAAGACGAACTTCTGTTAAACTCGTGACGTAACGTAACAGGTTATTTATGGCACGTTAGCATAGTATCAATCAATATCCAATACATTTTTCATTTGACTTATTTGCACTCGATTCTTGTTGAATACGGATTCAGGTATTTCGTATTGTCCAATGGATGAGGGGGATATGTTTAACAGGCCTCTTCTTGAAGCTGTCAACTGAAGAGACTATGGTCACTTTAGCTGGGAGAATATTCCATTTTGCAACAACTCCTAACGAGAAAACATGTTTACGAGCCTAGACATTCGTTCTTTGATGCATAATTTTAGAAATACTACCTTGAGGGGTGTTGTGGGGATTCTGCAGCATGGTGCTCATGTTGATATGAGTTGGCATGCTTGATATTTTGTACGCCATAATCGAATCACCCCTGATTCTCCTGTAACTCAGAAAGAAAAATCTAAGGTGCCGGAGTACATGTTCATACGGTTCGTTCTTCAACCATATTACTCACTTAGTTGAACGTCTGTGCACTCGATCCGAGAGGTTTATGTCTTTTTTAAGGATAGTAGGTGCTACGACGTTGTAAACCTAAGGGTGTGGGTGGGCGTAAGTATTGAACAGTGTTAAGAATAACTCTTTGGTGATGCCCACATAAAATAAAAAATTCTGTTAAAACTAAATGGATCATAATTTTAGTTTGAATTTGTGTCCAGGCTTACAAGTTATGAAATGGAGATTGCGTTCTAAGGATTAATTAATAATTGAACTTCGGTTGAAAGGGTTAGTGGGTGTTTCTTAGTTCTCACAGGTTATGCAGTATCGCATGATACGTGTAAATTGAAGGCGCATGGCCTGAATTTCCTTACCCGTGCTGAGCTTGATGGAATTGGTTGTTCCTACCCATTTATTCTCTCATTTACCCAATCATCAGTCCTCCACTTACCTTATGATGATGTTTCGTTTGCTGGACTGAATGTTTTGGTTGAGGAGCTTTTGATGTTCTTCTGAACAGTATCATCAGCAGAAACCTCAGGTAGAAGAAGTGAACTATCTGAATTTCTCCACGTATGACTAGTAGCTTTTCCTGCCAACTTCAATATTGAATGTCCTTTAACCTGTCATTGTCAGCGTATTTATTTTGATTGCGTTGTTCCTTGATATCCTTTTTGATCATAAGTTTGTCTTTGTATTTCACTACAAACTGTGAGCATATAATTGATTGGGGAAATTTTGCAACAAGTGATAGATTGAGTACAGCGGATACTATTGAATATTTAGAAGCTTGGCACTCAAACCAGTTGGCAATCAACTAACACAATAATAATGATCCGATTTATTAACCATCCAGAAAAATCATAAGCAAATGTGAGATCAAGAATTATACCAAAGGGAGACATACTCAGTATAAAGAATGAATGCAGCGATAGATTAAATATCAATAACAACCAATCAAGATCCAAATCAAGTGTTGAATGTCTGGCTTAATCCATGTTCTTCTCTTTCCAGGTGCATGATTCGATGCTGTTACACTATGTATGACGGGATTCACCATTAAAAAATGGTAATAATTGTTCTAAAATAACCATGTGTTGCTTGACGCATGCTAGTTTACAGGCAAGATCAAATTATTACAAATGTTACCATATTTACTATTAAATACAAATGAGGTTTGGATTTAGGAATAACTGTTCAGGAAGTTAAGACACGCCCCTTGCCCTTTTAAAGTCCAAAAGAAAGCAGTTGGTCTGGGTTCTGTTATTAATCATAAATGTAAGTACACATCAGTACCTAAACAATACCGCAGCTGTTATAATAATACAAATTGTTGCCATTTGTGAAAGTATGCTCCGGTTCCGATACAAATTGTACCCTTCCAGTCCAGAAGAGCGTATCAACCGCCAGAGGATTAAAATTCGATATGGCTGTCACCAAAATTAAGTGTCGACTTAAACAAAATAATGCAGTTCGGAAAGAAACATAGAAAATGAAAAAGGCACAAAAATAAAAAAATATAACAAAATACAAATATCAACATCCCAAAATGGGATTAAACAGATTACCAAAGTGTAGAACTGAGAGAACATATTACAACATATTACAAGGACATATTATAAGTGTATACGTGGATGTATTTTCCCAAACAAAGCATTGCAAAATGGATTGTACACTTACTGCCAAAGGTAACTCAGTTAGATAAGTAATAAGTGTCTTTTCCTGACAGCAAGCTTTTGTCTTTTCATCTAAAGGAACATTTTGAAACAATCGCATTTTTAACAACATCTTACAAATAAGGTAGGTTCATAGGAGAGTTGTGGAGTGATTGAAGCAATTAACGAGTGAACTTTTGAAAAAGATTCGATTAGAAGGCTATCAGTGTAATCTGTAAACTTGACGAGTACGTACATAAACTGTGATTTTTGTTGGAGCAACACAGTCAATCAGCGATGATAGGGTTTTGATTAGCCAGCTCTTGTTTGGGCTGACATTGATTGATGCCTTCTTGTTCCTCCTTTCTTCAATTTTTTCACGAGTATCAACAGAGATCCATTCACTGTGATGGTACTTCTTGTGACCCAGAACTTCGTGAAATGTTGAAGTGATTGCTTCCTTGACTCCTATTCAATTGTTCTCTAATGTTGCGTCCTCTCCATTGAGTATATCGTGCAAGGCCCGGAACCTATTGATGAGGGCTATCTTGAATTCGTTGAGTTTTACGGTATCCCGAAGAAAGGCTATATTAAACGTCTGCGATATTTTCTGCTCTGTTTTACAGCGCTTCTTTAGTTTCAGTTTCATTTTGGCGACCAGCAAGTGGTGATCTGAAGCTCTATCAGCTCCTCTCTTGGTTCTCACATCCTCCATGATCCTTCTGAACGTTTTGTTGATACAGATGTGGTCGATTTGGTTCTGATTACTGTGATCTGGTGAAGTCCATGTAGCTTTGTGCATGCGTTTGTGCGGGAATATTATGCCACTGATGACCAGTTTGTTGGAGGCACATAGGTTTGCAAATCTCTCACCGTTTTCGTTCCTTTATCCCAGTACATGTAGTCCCATGATAACTTCATATCCAGTGTTAAAATGGTTTGAATTATTTTTTATGGTTAGCGTTTTTTTGGCCCGTTAGTTTTTAGTTGGGATGGAAGCTCTAACGCCATGTCCAACCCCTCCTCCTTTACCCGGGCTTTGGACTGGCAGTAGCCCCTAAGGTTCTACTGGCGGCTTTATTTAATTCCTATATAACATGAAAACATGACAATGTGCTTTATAACTAAGTAAGAAATCAGTAGCAATACTTTATAGATTGTATTATATCATACAAACAGCAATTACTCTTTTACAACATTGATAGTCATTATTTTGACACAAATGATAGTTTCATGAAAATATTTACTGAATGTTGAGTAATACTAAATAGTAAAGTATTATCATTGAACCACATGATGTTTAGTAGAATAAATCAAAAGCGAACTACATTTAAAGAGCTTTTTGTATAAAAGCAATTGTTTGTTTCACATAATGCTCAATAGACAACTAGAATAATATCAAACATTCCTATTCACTGACAGATAGATGTTACTCATTATCGAATAAAAAAACAGCATTTGAATCATAAGTAACTGTGTAGCATCAAAAATGTATATTATGAAACTAGATGTTGAGTCAATATGATATGTTCAATGGAATATGCAGGAATGTATTCCTAAATAACATGAAAACATCAAAATGTACTTTATCACTGAGTAAGAAATCAGTTCGTACTTAATACAATTCAGTAAACATTCATGAAGCATTCATTCATTTGACCTGAAAAGATATTGAATACAATGTTTCATTAGTGAGAAAATTAAACTGACACTGTCAATTATATTTGGTAGACTAGTTGATGAGTAAATGACAGTTCTTTTTTAAAGTTAGATGAGCACAATGTTACAATGAACAGTATCTGTAAAAATAAGGTCAACTTAAATGACACTCAAATACATTTCATTCATGCCTTGATGAACGATGACTGTGTATGTATGTATATCAGCAGATGGCAAACATCTACTAATAAATTACGTTGATAATGACAATTTATTCTTCAATAACTTGTTACTAGAAGTATGCCCATTTACAGGCTGGATTGATAAGATATTTTCTGTAAAAGGTTGTTCAGTTACTTAAATATTCCATAACAAACAGTGACTTTATAAAAATGCCGAACGTTTCCACGTAAAATTGTGGATAATGTTTTAGACTCTGCCATGCACAATGCAATAGTTGACGAGCTGTAAGACGGTTACGTTACGATGAACCAATAATGACTGAGAACCAATGCTAAGCATACAACAAGAATTGATGAGTTAAGTGTGAAAAGATCTTGTTGATATTCCTCAGCAAATAAATTTACAGTCTCCTGGGTAAAGTAAACAAATCTTTGGCAATTATTCAGGCTAATGTTTGAGGATTAGAATAAGATGTTGAAATAGAGAAATAAGGAGAAATGGGCAAGAGGCAGAAGAGAAAATATTCTTGTTTAAAGTTGAGTCATGACTCAGAAGATAAAATTTTTGCATAAAACAAAGATATGATAATTAAGACTTTTTAAAATATTAAAACACCAACTATACACCTGCACTTAAGTAGGTTGATGAAGTCAATTCGGTAGTAAGATAATGAATGGGCAATTAATCGTATGAAGGACCGAACTGATACAGATATGGTCGATTTGGTTTTCAGTAGTGTGGTCCGGTGAAATCCATGTGGTTTTGTGTATGGGTTTGTGCGGGAATATTGTGCCACCGATGACCAGTTTGTTGAAGGCACATAGGTTTGCAAATCTCTCACCGTTTTCGTTCCTTTCTCCCAGTACATGTCGTCCCATGATGTCTGCATATCCAGTGTAGTCCATGCCAACATTGGCATTCAGGTCTCCCATAAGAATCGTCAAATCCTTCGGTGAGCGTCTACCGACGATTGACTGCAGCCTTTCGTAGAATTGATCTTTAACGTCGACATTTTAGTCGTTGGTAGATGTGTAGCAATAAATAACCTTCATCA